TTTTTTTTACTCAACCAATCAAAGATTTGATTGATAGTGAAAATAATTACAAAAGGTAGTAACTGCTAATCAAGAAGAACAGTGACGCCTCTTGTAAAACAGACAAAAACAAGATGACTCTTGGCAAAAAGGTCCCCACATCATGAAACAAAAAATAAGTAGAGCAAACTGAGATAGAAAAAATGGTCAAAGATGAAAGGATGCCCTATCCTTTGTGTTGTGATATCATCAAAGCAAAAACAAACACACCATAAACTAAAAGGAGCAAATTATGTGAAGAAAACGTATATGAAAGTAGACTGTAATAGTCATCATCACCAAGCAGAAAAAGTAGAATTCCTGTCAACCCCATACTTGGCTAAGGAATCAGCAAAGGCATTACCTTCCCTTAGAATGTGTGGGAGAGTGACATGACCAAGTGAGTGAAAGAGAGCATCAATTTCGTTAAAGACTCACCAAGAATTCCAAGGTCGCCGCAATTCATTATTAATCCATGAGGAAGTAACCTTTGAGTCAGATTCAATGATCAAGTTACACCCATTATAAGGAGATGAGGTAAAGAGGAGCAAAGCATAAACGATGGTCATAAGCTCTGTTAGACTCTTGGCAACCAAAGGGGCCAAAGAAAACCCCAACAACAAATCCGTCTGACTTCCTAAGGACGCCACCATACAAGCCCACCTTGGTTTGCCTCTAGAAGAGCCATCAACATTAAATTTGAGATCACCATCATTGAGGGGCTGCCATAAGACACTTAGACATTTGTGGAGAGGAGTCCTCTTGGAAAGGGAAATGCTTGGTTTTGTCCACCAACCAAGGTCATCGATAGAGTTGGTTTCCTCACATGCATTATCTAAAACTCGTGTAGTACCATGCTAGAAGAGAATTAAATATGAAAGAGGACAAATAATGAATCTTTTTATAACATTACCAGTTTTCTATGTTCCTTTTTTTTTTCCTTTTTTGCTTTATTTTCAAATCAAATCAAAGAGGATAAATAAATTTTTGTTA